ACGATTGGGGATAGATTTATAGTTGATGTCATTTATTTTAAATTGTTTTATTATCCACGTTTTCCTGCTAAGCAGTCGTCTATCCTCTTGCTGGAAACCATAATAATTCAACCGAGGGCTTTTTTAGAAGACTGCAAGCAGGATGAGAGAGATAAACGATTCACAAAAACAGTTTATCTGTAGCCATCTCGTTGAATGCATGTACAGGAACTAGTCTAACTTAGCAGCTGATACTCCTCGATATAACTAGGATGTATTTTTAAGCCATGTCAGAGGAAGATAATCTGTTTAATGCTTTTTCAAGCATTTTTTGAGCAAACATTCCTCATTTTTATGATTGGTCAACTGAAGGTCACTCGTACGTTCGCACTCCTGGGGTGCTATTGCTGAACTTTGCCCTAGAGTGATCCTCCGGCATTCCCATAACTTCTGCTGTGTATGAGAAAAGTTCTAATTCCGTTTAAAAGGTTGGCGCAGTGGTTAGGACTCTCGCCGACCATGCACATGGTCCGGGGTTCGATCCTCTGCCTACGCACACCCGATATCTATGGTCGGCCTGCAAAATTTGGGCTACTACCAATATTCATGCTGAAAATTCCATACTTGTACTGAAAATACGGTGTGGCATCAAGCTGTAATCAAACTAAAACTAACTAACTCAATGGAATAAGATAAATATCCGTGACAGCGCGTATTGTATCTATTTGGCCACCACTATCAAATGATATGAGACAAAATTGAACTGCTTATGGATTTCGTTTGACCTTTTCTTTGAACCATAATGGATGGAGCGTAGTAATACGTGTGTTAAGTTGCCTATTTGTCCTCTGTGTGTAGCTTTCTCCATATGGGCAGTTAAATTTATAAATACACATAGTAAATGGCACAGCCAAGCAACTTATCTGTCACCTAAGTAGTGGTGACTGGCCGGTTGGAAATCGATAAACAAACAGTGACAGTTGTATATAAGTCCCTCGTATGCCTCTAAGCAGTCGTTAGCTTAGAATTTCAATTGTCACGTGTCCAACTGTTTCTTTTCAATTGTTATTGGTTTCACTTGATTGTACACACGGTTGATGTGTCACCTGATAAATCTGCTGGGATAGTCCACTTCAGTCACTGATCCAAAAACTGATCCTAACTGATTAAAATATTTTTTTTACATGCATCAAGTTATGTATTTATGAGTAAAGTATGAGGAAATTTGAAATTGAAACAATATTTTCAAGAGTATTCAAGTGTTGGTTTGTAGGGATTTGATTGGTTACAGGATTTCATCATGAGGTGATATCAGTTACAGAACCATTGGAAAACCTGGGAGTACTGGACGGCTGTTTCGTCCTAGTTTGGGACTCTTCATCAGTACGCACTCACCGGGATTCGAGCCCAAGATCTTCCAATTACAAGGCCAGCGAGCTCATATACCATTAAGCCACTGGGACCCGATCCAGTGGCCAGTCTATGAATTCTAACTTCTGCCAATTCACGACATAGTGTGACCGCTAGACAATGTCCTTGGACAAATACTCGCCGAAGACAATGGCTAGGGGTCGCGCTATGTCGTGAATTGGCAGAAGTTAAAATTCATGGGCTGGCCATTGGATCGGGTCCCAGTAGCTTAATGGTCTACGAGCTCGCTGGCCTTGTTATCAGAAGATCTTGGGTTTGAATCCCGGAGGGTGCGTACTGATGAAGAGTCCCAAACTAGGACGAAATAGCCGTCCAGTACTCCCGGATTTTAAAGAGTTTTGGTCTGTTTCAAGTTTGATCACAGATGGGTATCAGTTAGAGAAGGATTGAAAACCAGTAGGGAGTGCCGGGCAGCTGTTTCTTCCTAGTTCGGGACTCATCAGAAGTACACACCCACTGAGTTTCGAACCCAAGGCCTTCCAGTTATAAGGCAAGCCCGTAGACTATTCATATACTAGGGAACGACTCAATGGCTCATGAATAAACCAGCACTGTTCTTTTATATATATCTTGTTTTCATTTTAATGATGGAAATATTTAATATTCTAGGGTAAATATTTTCTGTCAAGTTCCACCATATTTTACGAAGCTATGCAGCTTAACATTTTGTGACTGAAATTTGTCAACATGTTGCTAGGCTATTCAAATACAATAGAATTAATGTGTTCAAAGACTAGCTTACTCATAATCTCATGTCTTTTGGTGGATGACTTAGCAACATGTCGTTTGCAGTCAGTCAGCCCATTTTGTCAGATAATTGACGTTAACATGCCTAAATAAATTGTCAGTAAATTACAGTGATTGTGTGTGTGTGATTTTCCTTGGGGTGTCATTCTTTCACTTCTGAAAAGCATTGAACAGGGTGGAACTTGAATTTAGAGTTCAGTATGGTTTTGATTCAGTTGTTTAAACAACAGCAGATTCGAAACCAGTGAATACTGACTTCAAATATACCTCATCTAACTACCTTTAACTGTATGAAAGGGCTGTACAACATGGTGGTTGAAAATAGAAGACCTAATGAGACTATCTATCTTTGATTACAGATACTTGCGTTCTTTCTCGCTTGTTAAGTGGTGTGGTGAGAGCTGTCTGCTAGTCAAAATTGGTGCACAGCAATTTACGTCAATGTTTACGTCCCAAATCTTGGTCATGAGAAAAAACAATGACAAAGCTTAACCTTGAGGAACTCACCAACCAATCACAACAGACTTAACGTGTGGAAATACGATTCGCACATATATGGCTTAACTTTCTGAGAAACGGCCACAAAGGGATAACAGAATAACCTTGAGCAAGAAAACAACCAATAAGGAGACGTTGCTTTTCTGCTAACAATAACGCTAATAACAATGTACATAAAAATCTATAAATATGTGTTGATATTTTCGGTAAACGATCTGTTGCCTGGCCCTTATCCTCTGTCGTTACAGTTGTATACTACGGTGAGCAACACTGAGTTTTAGGTGTAGAATGTTAGATGAGGAGGGTAAATCGATCGATGAAGTTGTGAAGGTGAATGGATTGAAATGCCTAGGGCACGTGTTGTGTATGCTGAACCACTGAGAAATATTAGCTGACATAGGATTAAGTTGGGAAAGAGTTAGGAATAGTCAAACCCGAAAATGGACTTCAATCCATGAAGACCTTGGCTGTCGGTTTGAGCCACATAGAGAGGTGTAGACCGCCTGACTGGAATCCTTAAGTTGCTAAGATCCAATGGCTTGAGACTGTTGGTGATACAAATTGAAACCGTTCTCAGTGGTGTCAGATGCATTCACTCTGTAATCTCCAGTACCCATTAAATCCCCATGTTTTCTCATGTTACCGTTCTTTCTCTCGTACAATTATGTCTATTATGGTTCTTTTGAATATCTTCTCTGTGTGTGTATCTCTTTTGTCTGTCTTTTCGCTCTTCATGGAATATGGAAATTTGCACTGCTTGACTTCTGTGTAAGGCTCCTTGTTGAAACTAGCAAAGTTAAACTATCATAGCCAAAATTACGATGGCCTTAAACAACCAATCAGAATTCAGATGGAAAAAGTCGTAAAATCGTTGAAAAATACACCAAAAAAATATTGCAAACTTGATATTACACTGTATAATTATGGCTTATGTTGTTGTAAGAATGTCTCCCAGTTAATACACAGATGATCTATAGAGAAATTGTACCATGCGCCATATACCTATTCATCTAGGTGTCTGTGGGTAGTGGTACTTTGAGATCGATTGATATTTCTGACACTATTCTTCAACCTACCCATAACTCTAAACCTAAACCTAGTCTTAAACTCCATAACCCTACCTAACAGTATAGATTTGCAGAAAAAAGTACCTAGTAGATAAGTAAGATACTATATCTATCCTCTCCAAGTCCAAAGAGGCCGGCATAACTTGATTTGGAATGATATTTCATAGCGTTCCCTGTATCTGATCTCTTCGTGAAGGTCAACTTTTGAAAGACCTTGACTTTGGGGCCATGATAATTTTTACTTCGCCAGTTAATCTTATAGAATAAAATACATTTACACTATAAAACTGAATTATATGACATTCAATTTTGTGGATAAAGTCATACTTACTAGGTTCTTTTGAAGATAAAGTTTTCATTTCATCATATGAAGGAGAATGAGTTCTGTAGATCACACGGGATGAATTGTCACCATTTATAAACAGGTAGTGAAATGGTATTGTAAAGATTGTTTCTCTGTGGTTCAGCGATAGAACGTTCGCCAACTATGCACATGGTCAGGGATTCGATCCACAGTCAACGCATTCCTAAACCTCTCTCAGCCGCTAAAGAGGGAAAGTTGGGTGTGAGGCTAATAACTCCACGCTGTATAAATAAAACCACTGTTATTGAAACTTCAAACCTCTAGCTTGAAGACCTATGTTCCAGACGGAACGTAAAGAAATAAAAAAGCTTGTGAAGACAGCTTCCAGAAGTATTTGCTAGCGGAATTGTTTATATGTCAGAATGGTATACAGTCACCGGGAAATACAAAAGAACCTTAAATATGATACTTTAACTTCACCGTTGAAACTCAGTTAGTCAGTATAAGATTAGAGTTCATAAATCCTTATATTCTTTTTTCACTTGTCCTTCCTCATCATAGTTTTGGCGTACAAGAAATAACACATCTTGTAATGACAGAAGACAAGGGCCAGGCAACAGATCGTTTATTGAGAAAATCAACATATATTTATAGATTTTTATGTACATTATTATTCGTTATTATTAACAGAGAAACGGCGTCTTCTGATTGATCGTTTTACCACTGATAGTTAATCTGTGATCTCTTTGTGGCCGTTTCTTAGATGCTCAGACCATATATCTGCTAATCGTATCCGCTCACGCAAAGTCTTTGTTCTTTTTTCTCTCATGACCAAGATTTGGGAAGTAAACACTGACGTAAATTTCTGTCTACCAGTTTTGGCTAGCAGACAGCTCTCACCATAATACTATTTCAAAACTTTATTGTTAATGAATAAAACCCATATTCTATTTTTGTTGTTGTTATATATATAGTCAGCATTATGTCGAAGCAGTCAACCGCTAGCTGGTTTTTCTTCAAAATCAACAGAGGACCAGGTACTCTTCGAGGCTATACGTAATTCAAATCCTGAATCCAATATTCTCTATGTGGTTGATACACGACCTGCAATCAATGCGTTGACTAATCGTGCACAAGGGAAAGGATATGAAGATACCAATGTCTATCGGAATGTTGTAATTCAATTCTTTGATATTGAGAATATTCATGTGGTTCGGTCGTCTTTAGAAAAGTTATTAAAAGGTACTTGTTTGCCTAATTTGATGTGTTAATTATACCTGATTATATCTGTGTAAGATATCAGTCAATAATGGTTCAGCGATAGGACGCTCGCCAGCGCCCACGTGGTCCGGAGTTCTATTCTTGGCCGACACACACCTAAACCACGCTTAGCCGGAAGTAAGGCCAGTTTAAGGGGAAAGTTGAACATGAAACAGGTTAGCAACCCCATTCTTTAAAAATAAACACCATTGCTACCGAAACTTTAAAACTCTAGCTTGAAACGCATGTTGCACTTGCAACGTAAAGAATAAAATAAATAATAATAATAAGATATCTACAACAGAACAAACATTGGTGTAAGGTAATACGGAGGAGAGAGGTACTAGGTTAATTGCGGTCCACGACATAGGCCAAGTTCCAGCAGTTCTATTGTGATAGCTACAGCAAACCGAAGAAGACTCCGTCTGTTAATTATTTCGAATGCTCCCACTGCGTGTATTCAGTGTCCTGTGTCTATTAGGTGTTGGGCAATTGACGAGTTTAAACTATTCGATCCTCTCTTTGATACATGTTCAAAGATTCTGACATAGGCCTTTCTCTTTCTGTTTTCCTAATGTAACTACTCCTACAGTTACACGTGAATTGATATACACAGTTGGAGGTAATATATGAGGAGTGCTTGTCGATTTTTGACTGTACCAACGAGCAGGATGATTGGTGTAAAGAGACAAGTTTCGCTGCCGGATACATTTTGGCCAGTGCTGTACTTAAATGTTTACTTATCAGTTGCTTGTTGATTGTAAATATTTCCTGGGTTTTTGCCATCCTCCTTGCAGTAGTTTTTGATGAGACATTTTGCGGGTAGTCGTTTTCTTCCAGGCGTTTCACAGTTAACATGAATTTATCTTCTAAACATATTCGTTCTATCCCACAGAACCGCGTCTTCACCAGTGTGCGTTTATGGCTAACTCGACAGAAGCTGTTGTAGAGACCACTCGAAGTCTCGTTGCGACAAATCAATCTTCCAGGTGTCTCATTTTTCTTCTATTCAAGTTGATATGCAGGAATTTGAAACTCCCACCATTGTGAAAGTGATGCTTTCATTTAAATTGTTAAATAACGCAAGCAGATACGATGCGTGACTCAGATCATTGCATACAATGAATGTGTCGTCTAAGTATCTATTGTAGATCATTGTTTTATCGATTGCATACTTAAGTTTTGTATGTTCAAGACTATCCATTAAAATATCTGTCAATACAGGACCCAATGGACTATCCATTACCACTCCATCAATTTGGCAACACATTTTGTTGTTAAACTGTAACTGTGTATTCATGGCGCATAATGAAAAAAGTTGCTCAAATTCACGTGTCGGTAAACGCAGGAGATAAGCGTGTTGACTGATGATGTCTAAAGTTTTATGAAGCGGAACGAGTATGAACACAGGGGCACTTCGAAGGAGACTATAAATTCATTACACACCTTAATTTGGTTCACCTTTTCAACGAATTGGAACGAGTCCTTCACGGTATGCTTAGCCAGCCGTTGTCGAACGGGTGCCAACTTTTCGTCTAACCAGCGAACAACTTTGTGGAAGGGTGAATTCTCCAGCTCTCTTGTGATACACTGAGTTGGTGAATGATAGACATGCAACAATTATCAATATAGGGTCAGGCATTACTACATAACAGAACAATTTGCCACACTTCACAGGTATACACCAAGTTCGAAAGTAATAACTGAGGAAGACAAAATAAGGAAAGGGATATAATCAAAAGTCGTTGAATGCCATAGGATTATTTATAAACGCGTCTGCATCAATTTGATCAATTTCAAGTCTCCGACCATAGATTCTGGTGGTCTGATGTTTCTCAACTGTAAACTCTCAGACATGTTTCACATTCACAGACGATGAGTTCGTGGATTGGTACCACTATTTAATCTGATCACTATCCGCTTTCCCCAACATTTAGGAAGTAACTAATGTCTATTGGAGAAGACAGTCTTTTCCAGCAAAGAAGGAGTCTTGCAGTCTCATTCTATCTATTATCATCTCTCAACACAGATGTGCCTCTCCAGCTCCATCACAGCCACAGCAGTACGATTACTAACCAACTGCTATATAATTCTATTTGTAATCACATTTTAACAATACTATGATAAGGAATTTATTCAGCCGACAGTATTTATTATATTGGTTTTTGGTTATGATTTCATAGAGATATGAGTATTAGTGTCGGTGCTTAAACTCTTATCACAGGGAGGGGGGGAATTCTGGCTAGTGGGCTTTTGATATACGTTTGAAGGGTTGTTATAGCCTATCTGTATAATATACGGCAGTCAAACATGTACCTTAACTTCGTCGACTTCGAAAAGGCCTTCGACAGACAGCATTGATCGAGAAGTAATTTGGAAACTACTTCAACACTACGGCGTGCAATGTCCAGGTCTCTACCAACCTCATTCAACAGCTGGGGCTATATGACAATGATACGTGTCAGGTGATCCACAACGGAAAACTCAGCGAGGCGCTTGACGTGAATACAGGAATAAGACAAGTTTGCTGCCTCTTATCACCGATGATATTCTGAATGGTGGTGGACTGGATTATGTGTCAGACTGTGAGGAGTGAGATAACAGGAACACACTGGACCAATAAGAGGGCTCTAGAAGATCTGGATTTTGTAGATGATATATGCCTAATGTCACAAACTCGAAGAATTGCAGGCAGACGAAAACCAACAAACTAGCAGAAGAGGTGGGGCTGATAACGAAGACAGGACTCCAGGTGAACATGGAGAAGGTAGAAGTGATGAAGATAACCAGCCGACAGCAACAACAACCAGCACCAATCACCACCAATGGGAGAAAGAGATTGACAGAGGTTAATTCCTTCAATTGTCTAGGAAGCACGGTTTCAACTACAGACGGGACGGTTGAAGGTGTTAACAGCAGCCAGAATCGCAAAGACAAGACAAACCGTCATCACTCTGAATTCAGTTTGGAAATCTTCGGTACTCAGCCAACCAGCATAAACAACAAGATTCGGATTTTCAACACAAATGTAAAGTCAGTCAGTCAGTGCTTCCATACGAGTCAGAAAATCGGCGAGTCTGTCACAAAAAGGATTTCCAACAAGTTACAGACCTTTATCAACAGCTGCCACCTTTACTGCTTCGCTCCAAACTGTTGATGGGATGTCCGATCGGAAAGAATTAGTAACAAGAAACTCCGGGAACGAACCAATCAAGAGCCGATTGCTCAACAAATATATGAGAGAAAATGGCGATGAATCGGACACACTCTGAGGAGACCGTCAAATGTCATCGCATGCCAGCCCATTGCTCGAGTAGAATCCCAATGGGAAGTGATGAATGGGTCATCAGTGCTAGGGCGACATGGAGGAGATCGTGTGGCGAGGAGGCGATGAGAGATTATGGCCAACTGTGGATCCAGCTGAAGAGGACGGCAGAAAATAAAACAAAGTGCAGATGTGTTGTTGAAGCCCTATGTTCCACTCGGAACCCATGGGAGTAATAATACAGTAAATAATCTTTATAATATATCGGTCCCCCGATTTTCTTGTTCAATCTGTCCTTCCTATTAATATTTAGTAGTAGTTAAGTTCTTGTTCACTTGTATCCTTGACCATCTGTCAAAATTAACTGAAGACATAAGAGGAAAAAGCATGTCACTGGATTTTACGTAAAATTTATTGATATTTAGTTAAAAAACACTTAAAATATAATGTAAGTATAATCTATTTCTAGTCTGTCAGTAGAGCGGTTAATTTCTATTTATACATTCTAGTTTGTTGCAGTCCAGCAATAACACTGGAAAACTTCACATCGGGTTTGGATAAATCTGGTTGGCTTAAACATTTACGTGCAATCTTGGAAGCAGCCTATTTTGTAGCTAAACGATTGGATGAAGGCAACTCAGTACTGGTTCACTGTTCCGATGGTTGGGATCGTACAGCTCAAGTCTGTGCCTTAGCACAAATTATTCTGGATCCGTATTATCGAACATTTATAGGATTACAAGTATGTGTATACGCATAGTTTGTTGCATTGTTAAATTTAATTTATTCATGAACAGAAGTGGGCAAGAAAAGGATTAAGCGGAAAAGTCTAAAATTGAATTAAATGATGATAATAACTGGTACCCTTTGCACAAGAGGTGGTTCTGTTGACCCAGGTGGTCTAGTGGAACACGTTTTGGCGTTTGAAATTATGGCTATTTGGTTCGAGCCTCAGTGGCATCATCATAACTCACTAGGGAATGCAAATACATCCAGATGACGAGTCCCACGTAGGACGATATGCGTATTGTCCTGCATTCCACTGCCAGTCACCATCCACCAAATTACTTCAGTTTAAATCGTCAGAAATCAGTGAAGCATCCACACAAGGAGCCGACAAATCAACAGAGGTTGAACACTTCGGTGTAATCAACCAACGGGGAAGTCGAAATCGAATTCAACAACTGTTTCCAATTTTTATTTGAATTCAAATTGATGAGGTAAATAAACCTACGGTCAAAATGTTGCACTTCAATAATTTACCAAGTTTGTAGGTGTTATGGAAACGATTGACAGCATTCACTCCTACCTACTCGGAAGGTTGAACTCTGACTTGTCAATCTCGATAGCTCTCGTTTTAAGCCTTGAAATCTCCAAATACTCTTTATTTTATATGACCACCTCTTTCGAGATCAGTATTTGACCAAGTTGGAGAATCGCAATTCAGGTGTACGGACGCACCGATGACCTTGAACGCACACTAGCCGTTGGACAATGGGACCTACCATCATTATAGTGCCATTTTGAACGCTATTAACGTATTGAGGTGCAAATTTCAGCCGGATCTTGTTTCTAAGTACTGTTTAGATATTGGGTTGATACCACGTCGCCATAAATGTCTTTTAGTCTTTCCATGTATTTCTATGGGTGTTCAGAAACAGGTGATGGACCTGTATTTTGGTGTACACAGTGTAGGAAACGAATTAGTATTCGTAGTGGTAATGTTACACATTCAGTTCATTTTTTTCTTGGAACTTTCTTTTCTAAATCGAAACTGTAGTCGACAAATATCCTTTTCATCTGCCATCAGTGGATGTTAAAGACTGGGTTGAAATCAACGGCTGTACAGACGGAGAATTCATTAGTATCTACCGTGTAGTAGTTCCACCATTTCAGAGATATAGCGTCCTGGAAGATGAATACCGTCACGCAACTGTTGGAAGTAGTTGATGTTATTGTTCACATCTATGAAACCCTTCTGATAATGAAGAAATGCAATCGTGGTCGCCCTAGGACATACATGTAATTGGGAGATATTTTTAATTCATGTCACGGAAAAATATCCTGTTTAATCTATTTTCATGCATTTCTGTTGTATGTAAACGTCATTTTTATGTAAGAACCACTGGTTTCTCTGATTGGTCAGCTCAAAGTCATTCGTACGTTCATATTCCATGGATTGTTATAGTGTGGTGAGAGCTGTCTGCTAGCCAACCAATCACAGCAGACTTAGCGTAGGCGGATACGATTCGCAGACATGGCCTGACCTTCAAAGAAACGGCCACGAAGAAATGAGATAATAACTTCCAGAGAGAAAACAGCCAATCAGAAGACGCTGTTTTTCTGCCAACAATAACGCTAATAATAATGTACATAAAAATCTATAAATACCTGTTGATTTCCTCAATAAACGATCTTTTGCCTGGCCCTTGTCTTCTGTCGTTACAATAGTTTAACTTAGCCCAGTATTTTTCGGAAGAATGATGCTTGTTTAAAACGTTGTATTAACGTTAAGCGTCTACTGGAACAAGATAACTAGGATGGTGTAGTAACAATAACAATTTCCAAGTATAACGACACATTGACTTTTTTGGTGTTATGAGCTTCCGAAGGCAAAGAATGCACATTTTCTTTACCATCCACTTGTTACACAGATTCACATTTTATTTAAGTAACTGAAACAGAAAGAACTTTTCCATAATGCTGGTGTATAATTTGCTATGTTCCCAATATTTTTCGTACTCCTTGTGTTCCGAGTAGGAGGAGGTGCTGCCTTTACGGTGTGGTGTTGATAGCCTGACACTCAACCTCCCCTCTTTTCAGGGCATACTGCTGACTAGGCGAGGTTCGGGGGTGCGTCGGCTGATATTCGAATCCCTTACCTCCCGCATGACTGGTTAACATTTTACCGATGAGTTACCGACGCATATAGGATACTGCTTCGTACAGCGATAATGACACTGATAAGTGTGGGAAGTGAGAGATTACAACTGTATCTTTGCTTTGTTTATTCGCATAATGTTTGATTTTGCACTCTTTAATTTTTCCCCGTTCTACTCTAACTTAAAATATTTATACGTATATATATTTTTAAAGGCATTGATTGAAAAAGAATGGATCCAGTTCGGTTATAAATTCACTGAAAGATGTGGTTTAGAATCTGATGTTGATCCACGTGAAGTATCGCCTATTTTCACTCAATTTCTTGACTGTCTTCGACATTTACTGGAGATATGTCCAAGTAAATTTGAGTATAATGTTAAGTTGTTACAATTTCTACACGATCAAGTCTACTCAGCAGTTTATGGAACATTTATTGGATGTAACGAAAAGGAGAGAATAAATCTTAGGTAAGTTTTGATATCATCGATTTGTCATCTGTCCATCTTTGTTTTTATAGGAAGAAATCCTCTAAATATTTTGATGTGATCGTGTTCTATGAGCTGGATGATAGTTTTACTTGTGAAGCTTTCATTGCGTTACTAGGCAACATCTTCAGCGCATACTTCAAATTGAAGTGTGCTGCCTAGAGTAAGGCAATGGGAGCTTCACAATTAAAACTATCATCCAGCTCAGAGAACACAACTACATCAAAATCATCCACCTGAGCTACAAATCTTCTCCATTATATCGAAATTCCCTAAATAATTTGCTTCAAGGGTACACATATATAAGCGTGTTGAGCTTGAGATAACTGGCAGCGCATTGTCTTTAGCGTATTTTCTGCATATTTTCACATGCTTCCGTTTGTTTGTGCTTGACCACATGAATGTTTGACGTAGATCCTGTATGGGGAAATATTTAGGGCTTTACACGCAACTGCCCTCCTTTGAAGCATGTTTATTTACTTTTGGAAACGATTTGCGCTTCTGTTTATTAGTTATTTGATCTAGCTGAAAATGTCGCATGAATGTCAAAATATTCCGTGAGGTATCTTCCATTGTGTTATACATGAATAGGTTACAGGTGTCTTCGGTCACTGACACCTTTAAAACACTGTGGTATCACTGCTTTTCCCTCGTTAGTTGCATCAGCCCCAACGGGTTGATCGCTGACGAAATCTCAACACAGATTCAAAAGGCTCGTTTGTCATGTCTCAACTTACGCCACCTCTAGGGTATACGTGATATCCGACTGGCTGTCGACCAAAGGGCGCGCGTACTGCTCAGCAATTCGTTCCGTTCTCCTTTATGTCTGTGAGACATGGTCATCGAAAGTGGAAGAAACGAAAGGGTTAGCTGTCTTTGATCATGGTGCCTGCGTCCTCTCTGCTATGTTAGGTAGTATAACAGGGTGATAAATACTGAGATTAGCCGTTAAGTGTTAGGTAAGGAGGAAAAATGTATCGGTGAGGTTGTGAAGTTACATCAGTTGAGATGGCTAGGACATGTGTTACACATGACTAGCCTACGCATCACCTTCGTCGACCGACGGGCAATGTTAGCTGACTGACATAGAATGGATCAAGTTGGAAAAGAGCCAGCGGTGGTCAAATCGAAACATGACAACAGTCAATGAAATCCACAACAGTGAGTTAAAGCCACATAGGGGGGTGGTGTAGACCACTGTCTGGTTGGGTTCTTCGGGGTAGTAAACACCAATGAAGGAGACTGGAGACATTTGGTGATATGGCTCAAAATGATTCTCAATAGCTGGCGGAGATGCATTCACTCTTTGTGATTTATAGTGCACAATAAAATTGTATTGTTCTTCCATATTAATATTCTCTTCGCCTCATATTTCTGTTGATTATCTGTCTTTTGAACCTCCCTTTACTCTCTTCTCTTGCTTTGTGTGCTACATGGGGGGAGTGTGGCAACTCGAACTGCTGCGCGTTTGTGCAAAGTTCTACGTTGAAACCAGTCAGTCAGTCAGCCTTGCTAGAGTGTGGAGTTGAAACAAAGGAGGTTAGGTCATGTAAGCATCAACACTACTAATACATTTAAGTATATTTATCAATTACATTCAAAATACCTCTCACTATCTAGTATTGCTTTCAGAAAGAGAACAAAAGAGGAGGTGGTGGCGTGTTCTTCATTGATTTTGATTTTAAGCTATACCTATTAATATTCTCGAACTGCTGAGTTGCATGATCTCTTTGATCCCACCCAGGGGAGTTGTGATTTGCCAACATAATTATCTTTCATCCTACAGCAGCATGTCGTCATCTGACCAACTCTTCACGTTTTCCAAACAGTTCCAGGGTTAGCAAGCAGTGGTATTTCATTGGTCAGCACTTACACGACTACCTGAATACATCGACTTATCGACTACTTTTAACGGTTCACTCGCAAATGTGAATTCAGGTATAGACTCCTATCAGTCTTTTAATTGTACTTCGCACTTCAAAAGATTAACAGAACATGCCTAGTCGCTAATTGATTAAGTACGATTTGGTTAGTTTGTATTTTGTCGCACAGTGAGACGATATCGTCTGCATACTCCAGCTTGAAAAGTGTTCCCTTTAGACAACAAATCTACGTCGCTGCTACGCGCTTGCTTTATTCAGCATATCGTCGATGGCAAGACTGAAGAAAAATGGTGAGTTTTTTCAAAAACTTCATACATTTGGTTCTCTTGATAAATTTCGATAAAGAAAGGAAGACGAAATTTGCAGTAGAAAATTATATCACCATTCTATTTAACATGTTCTCATCAGCTGCAGACTACCTAAAATTACAATGGTTATATAGATGATAATAACATACTTTAATGTTTAAGCGGTAGTAGAGAAGAAATACTATAAAATTGGCGCATCCAAAATTTTATTTTTTTTATTTATTTTTATTTTGGTTACAGCTTGATGCCACACCGTATTTTCAGTACAAGTATGGCATTTTCAGCATGGATATCGGTAGCCCAAATTTTGCAGGCCGACCATAGATATCGGGTGTGCGCCTGCAGGGGCTCGAACCCCGGACCATGTGCATGGTCGGCGAGAGTCCTAACCACTGTGCCACCGACGCACATAAAATGTAAACATTACATTAGTGGAAGTTTTCAGCTTCAATTTATGCGCTTTCAAAGTAGAAAAAAGGGGGGTGGAGAGGGGTAAGACGGAAAACAGAAAAAATTAATTAACAAACAGTGTTAGCTTGTAGGTTCACATAGCAAGTCAAAAAGCAAAAGCGGTTATAGTTTATAAGATTGAGATTTGCCCAGTGAGTTAAGGTCACTCACTGCATTACATAACTAATTATTGTAATCACAGTCAAAATTCAGTTACCATGGTAGTGAGAGATTAATCACAATCTCTTTCCGTATGCATAAGTCTGGTTGGTTTGAATCGTTTGATTGTGATCGCTTCGACAAATCGTAGTAAATTTGCTGTCCTTTGTCTATTTAATATTTTGAAGGACTTAGAAATCTCTACGCGATGAGCAGTATCAAGAAGATGTCTTGTAATTGCACTGTGAGAATATTTGCTTCCTTTCAGGCAGAGGTTTCTTGGAATATGTTCAGAAAACCGGATAGAAGCCTTTCTTTCAGTCCTTCCAATGTACTTGCTCCCGTAAGTGCACGTAAATTCATAAACGCAGTTGGAGATGACATCAGTTGGGTACTTACCGGGTTTAGAGAGGCTTATGGAAGAAGTAGTGCACTATAATGATACGAGTTTAGCTTCAGGGAAGCTTCTTTTTATTGATCCTTTCATTCTCTTGTCAAGCTTTTGTGACGCTGCATCTCCTTTGAATGGGAGACAAATAAACCCTTCTTTTTCTTCTCTACAGTTGGGTATTTTTCTTTCTTATCTTTTTCTCTGCTATACTTATGTATAAATTCCTTAGGGTATCCATTTTCTCTCAGGCATTTCTCAAATCTAATTTTTCTTGCACCTTGTTGGGTGAATATAGCTTCCTGGCTCTATTTTACAAAGTCCTCAGTAATCCACGTTTAGCTTATAGGAGGAAAGCTGTTATAATGAAGATATTGCCCAGTCCAAGTTTCTTTTCTGTAGATGGACTTTTCGATTGTACCATCGTTTGTTCCTTCTACATTTAGATCCAGGAAATTGAACTCATTATTCTGTTCATATTCCATGGTGCATTTGATGTTTGGATAGGTCTCATTGCGGCGCTCATATAATGCCGATGCGTGATCCATGTCGTTGCAAACAACAAATGAAGTATCATCAACATATCGGCGATAGTAGGTCGTTCCATTGATAGCAGAACTCAGTTGTGTCTGTTCGAGGTAGCCAGAATAGGTCCCAGAGGCGACCCCATAAATTTGTCGGTAAAGTTGGTTGTTAAATTTAAATTGTATATCTTTTGTGTAAATCAGCAGTGGTCGCTTCATCTCTCTTTCAGGTAGTGGTAGTAGATCCGTTTATTTACAAATGATGCCAATTGTTTCCATCAGTGGTAACGTTTGTAAACAAGGAGGTCACTTCGTAATGCTTACATTTCGGCTGCCTCAATTTTATAGTATTTCTTCTCTACTACTGTGGTGAGAGCTGGCTGCTAGCCAAATTGGTAGACATTAATCTACGTCAAGGTTTATGTCCCAAATATTGGTTGTGAGAAAAATAGGAACAAAGACTTTGCGTAGGCGGATACAGTTAGCATATAGATGATCTGACATTCAAGAAACAGCCACAAAGAGATGAAAGATTAACTTTAAGTGAGAAACAACCAATCAGAAGACTGTGTTTTTCTGCTAACATGAAAATCTATAAATATCTGTTGATTTCTTTAATAAACGATCTGTTGCGTGGCCCTTGTCTTCTGTTGTTACACTACCACTTAAATGTCAAAGTATGTCATTACCATCTATATGACCATTGTAATTTCAGGTAGTCTACAGCTGATGAGACCCTGTAAAATAGAATGATGATATAATTTTATACTGCAAATTCCGTCTTCCTTTCCTATATCGAAAAATGCTGAGACTAGTCAGTCCTGTCTAACCATACTGATGGTTGAGAACAGTGATGATACATAGTTACATGCTGTCAATTCACTTGCAGTGTACAAAGTATGCGTTGTGAATCAATAAAAGGTGGGGATCGTTGTGCATTACAAACTGAAGTCAACCAAACAACTAATAATGAGTAAGCACATCACTGTTTACGATTTTGTATTGACCTTAAGTAATGGCAAAATATCCACAATGTCCAGTTTACTGACTTGCTGTATGGAACTTTCATTTTTCATTTTTCTTAGAAAACAACTTTCCCAAATAAGGCTCTAAACGCAGAAACTGTTTTTATTTCACACAATGCTTGGAACACACTTCACCTAACCTGCGAATATTTACTACGATTTCGTCAATTGGGGTTAACTTTTGCTGCAAAGTAGGCTAGTCTTGTTTATTTATTTTTTTTAGCATGGTTGAAGAGCGGACATTTGCAGCATTATTGTATGTGTATGCCTATCATTTCTATTTTCTGTTTTAGAGTTCGTGAGCGTACTTACTCTCTCTGGGCTTACTTAAATCACTACCGTGATAAATGGATTAATCCCTTCTATGAACACAATTCAGTATGGACAAATTTTTCTATCGGGAGTAGTTTTGATTTAGAAAAAGAATCATATTTTGAAACAGATGATTTAATCACCTCTGGAATTGAACTTCTTGACGATGGTAAAGGCAATAGTCGATATGCAGCAGATATGCTTCCAGCACATGTATTATATGCACCATTGTTTCGGTAAGTCTCTTTTTTCCCCTACTTTTTGTACATTCAAGTCATGTACATGAATTTTGGTAGTTTGAGTTTCAACTTTAACTGGGAATGTTACCCTTCTTCTTGAATCGTGGAGAGGCTGTTTAAGACGTCTCGCTATGTGGATTATTTATGTATGTATCCCATGTGTTCGTGATTTCATAAAAACATCTAACTTCTGTTCAAAGTATTTCATTCAGTTTTAGATTTTCCCATCGATTGATTAGACCGAAATGCTCGATCTCAGTTTGATATGTCGACTCCAGATGACGACTCCCGAATAGGATGAAGTTCGCGTTGTCCTGGATTCGATTGCTAGTCACCATCCACCAATTGACTTTTCAAGTATTGGTTTTGTAGGTATTTTGTTTGATTGGTTGGGGGATTTCATCATGAACTGACATCAGTTAGAGAACCATTGGAAAACCTACAGGGAGTAGTGGACAGCTGTTTAGACAGCCTAGTTTGGAACTCTTCGTCAGTACGCAACCACCACAGGGGTTTGCACCCAGTACCTTCTGGTTACAAGGCCAGCGAGTTCGTAGACCATTACGACACTGGAACCCCGATCCAATGGCCGGCCCATGAAGTTTAACTTCTGCCAATTCACAACATGAGATGACCACTTGGCGATGTCTTCTTCGATGAGTCACCGCCTGACCTTCAGCCTGTTGTTACCTACTAGTCACGCCTTCCCGCTCTGTCATGAATTGGCAGAAGCTCGAATTCATGGACTGGCCGTTGGATTGGGTCCCATTGGCTTAATGGTCTACGAACTCGTTGACCTTGTAACCAGAAAGTTGTTGGTTTGAACCCTGTCGGTGAGTGTCTACTGCTGGAGAGCCCCAAACTAGGCAAACGAAACACCTGCCCAGTACTCCTAGTTGGTTTTCCGGTAGTTCTCTAAATAATGTCAGCTCATGAGGAAATACTCCAACCAATTGACTTCTGTTCAAAATAGTCTACTAGTGTTTACAAAAAATCGTTATTTGGATTTCGGTTCATCTTGTCCAATAGTAGTGCGAATAGGATTAGTGAATAAGGCTAAATAGCTAACCTACGGCAGAAAGGAAGACATAAGAGAGGTATGGGCACTTAATGATTACCTTGATAAACTAATCAATAAGCATATAGGAAATTATAAGAGAATAAAGGTAACATTAATAGTAACAATATAATGAGGACGACATGAATGTTAAACGCGCGCGAAACAATGACAAAACCAAGAATAGGGAGTGTAAAACATCATTGATGCTGTCAAAAAGAAAAAGGAAACTTTTGAAACCTTAAGTAGAATTCTTAACAAGGCGGGAATAAAAGTGGCATTCTGACCCGCAAACTCACTTAGGAACAAATTAGGTTGGTTAAAGGATCCTGTGGAACCCATGGAAGAGAATACTTTAGTTCACCCAATACCCTGCAGTGACTGTGAGGTCAAGGAGTAGTGGGCTGGAGACAATTGGATTAGCGGAGAAGAAGAAATTGGAGAAATATAGATTAGTAGACCCTGATAAGATAAGCAATCCAAAAAATAGCTCATCTGTAGCACCACATGCAACTGCACACAACTATACGACAGGAAGGAGGAACTGATAATTGAAGCTTTGTATAGTGAATCAACTGAGAATGTTTTCACTAGCAATGATTCAACACCTGTCAATCCTAGACATCTGGAAAATTCTACTACCCTTACAGCAAACGGGTATGAAGAACGAAAGCTAAGAAAATTAAGTTTTGGAGTTATGTAATCACAGTTGATGTATATGATTATGAATAAGAAGCTGTCTTCGGTAATTTATACTATTCCACTGTGTGATACATTCAATGAAAATTCATATGGAATTACATGCCTCTAGTGTCATGCATTATTCTATTCGGAACTTTGGACTAAGTACCTCTTCTCTATATTAACTTATTTATTGTTTAGCCTATATCCAGTAATCTTGTGGTGAGCGCTGGCTGCAAGTCGAAATTGTAGACCCGGAATAGGGTTCATGAGAAAAAACAATGACAAAGCCTAACCTTGAGGAACTCACCAACCAATCACAGCAGACTTAACCTGTGCACATACGATTCTCAGATATATGGCTTAACTTTCTAAGGAACGATCACAAGCATTAAAGAATCACTTTCAGCAAAAAACAACCAATCAGAAGACGTTGCTTCTCCACTGACAATAATGCACATAAAAATCTGTTGCCTGGCCTTTGTCTTCTGTCGTTACAAACTTACTCTGGTGAACCCATTCAATTTAATAAAGAGTAAAACCAAAGGAAACTGAGTCATTACTCAATTCGAACGATTGACATACGTCTTAATGAACCGATTCTGTACTGATAGAAATGCCATAACCGGGTTAAATTCTGGTTGACCAAATTTAAATTAACACTTTGTCGGTAACTAGGCTTCTTAGCTAAGTCGGTAGACGATTGAACCAGTAACCACCAAGCGGTTGTCGTTACTCTAATCGCTGCCACCTGTTGATTGGATTCTGTTGACGAGATGATTAATATGACCATGTGATCTTGGGTAAACATCGTTTAAACACACGTATTTTATTGTTCTCTCTTCATAATACAAAATGATGAACAATTTGACGTATAAACGTTGTTATTAATTAATAATAAAAAACATACTACATCATGGGGACCAAGGGATGCATCACACAAAAGCCCATAGTTTATGCGGTGTCTGGGATACCACATAAACATCTAGGTCGAAACAGGTGGTTGTTTTAAAGGACCGCTCCCAAGCCTTTGACCTGAGGGCTGATCCACAAGGTAGTGGAGCAGCATCAGTGGCCGAGTCTGCATGCTTTTCCGTGACCAGGACAGATTCACATGCCATTGGATTCTTTGGGATTCTGGAGCCCATGTACTCCACAGTTTTGGAATCAAGGTTTTCCAATCACTCTAGGTAGACATAAATGTAGATATGATGGAGAAGATTTGAAGCTCAGGTGGATGATTTTGATGTCGTTGGGTTCATTGAGCTGCATAGTTTATTTTTGTGAAGCTTTCATTGACCTACTAGGCAACATCTTCCGCGCATAATTCAATTTGTTGAAGTGAGCGTTTAGATTTCTCCACGAGTTTACTAGTCATTTCTCCTGGTGACCACCTTGAACGTGATTGGTTGTTTTTGTGCGTTTTCACACCCTCTAGACTGCTACTTGTATTGGAACTGATTGTTTCCTTGACTTGAACTTGGAACCTTTGTGTGTTAGGTTTCCTTCTTATCAGTTGGTAAATTTTGTCTATCTCTATGTTTCTATTGATTGACGATTCACTGAAATACCAGGCTTCTGAAATTCCTCTAGCATTCTTGGTGTTTCCTCTGTCTAATATTTGAACTTTGTCTCAGTCGAATTGATGTCCGTGGTTGTCTGTATGTAATAATATGAGGGAGTGGATGTTGTGTTTTTTGACGGCTAGCTTATGTTCATGGATACGAAGATGAAGGGGACGTACACTTTGGCCAATGTAGTGTTTTTCGCAGTTGTTACAATTTATTTTGTAGATGATGTTGGTTTCATCTTCTTTCGATGTTGAGTCTTTTGGTTTACATAGAGCCAGCTGAGTGAAGTGATTTTGTTGGTTTGTGTTTGGTGTCAATTCCTAAAGGTCAGCGTTCAAATATTAGACAGAAGAAACACCAAGAATGCTAGAAAATTTTTAGAAACCTGGTATTCCAGTGAATCGTCAACCAATAGACACATCGAGATAAATAAAATTTACCAACCGATAAGAAGGAAACCTCACACATACAAAGGGTCAATGTTCAAGTCAAAGAAACAATCAGTTCCAATACAAGTAGCAGTCTAGAGAGTGCGAAAACACACAAAAATAACCAATCACGAGGTTCAAGGTCACCCACTAGGAAAGATGATTAACAAACTCATGGAGAAATTTGAAAGCTCACTTCAACAAATTGAAGTATACACTGAAGGATATTGCCTAGTAGGACAATGAAAGCTTCACAAGTAAAACTATCGTCCAGCTCAGAGAACACAACCACATCAATAAAGACATAAATGTCCACCAGTCTGTTGTAATAAGAATAGAACTGGTTCACTGAGAGTCCACCACTCTGGTTGTACGGATCAGACGCTCACTTTCTCCCTTTCTCTCTGTGAGAAACACTCCTGCAGTATGATGGCTGTGATTACGATATACTTGGCAGAGAGTATGAACGTGTTACCACATGATGGTGGCATTTCGAGAGGAAGACCAAATTCTATCCACCCTTAGCAGTGCCAGGTTGTTTATTCGGATCTTCTTTTTTGAAGTATCTTTTAAAACTTAGTTCTGGCGAAATGCCATCTACTCAATTTTGAGGCATTCATCAACGTTACTTGGACACGCCAACAGTTGTTGTTTTAATTATTACTGAAACGTCATCTAAAAATAAACTTAATTGGATGGAGGATTTCATCATGAACTGACATCAGCTAGAGAACCACTGTAAAACCACCTGGGAGTACTGGACAGCTGTTTCGTCTGCCTAGTTTGGGACTCTTCAACAGTACGCATCCACCGATAGGGTTTGAATCCATGACCTTCTGGCTACAAGGCTAGAGAGCTCGTTGACCATTGAGCCACTGGGACTCGATCCAATGGCCAGCCCATGAATTCTAACTTCTGCCAATTGACGACATAGCGCGACCATTTCGCAGATGTCCAGTGCTCCCAACTGCTTTTCCAGTGGTTCTCTAACTGATGTCAGCTCATGATGAAATCCTCCATCCAATCAAACAAAATCCCTACAAAGCCAATACTTGAAAAATAAACTAAATTGTTACACACCTAAATAATTCTATATTGTTAACGCCTTAAATTAAACTTTCATACTTTCATCCGTGCTGTTTTTTTGATTTTCCTTTCTTTCTGCTTTTTGTTTTTTGTATCTCAACAGTTTATGGCGTGATCTGTATTTACGATGGGAATGGCGTTTGCCTAAGCATGATGGTCAACGAGAGAATCATGTCTCTGACTATTTATACGGTCTGACTACTCTACTTGACCACAATCGATTATTGGAGGCGAGAATTAGGCAGTTACAAAAGTTATTGGATAAAAGTGATAATAATAATGATAGTAATAGTACTGTTGTACATAAGAATAATTTAGAAGCTTCACCTGAGAAATCATTAACTTCAAAAGTGAGTGTGTGTATACATTCGTTGTGCAATAACCAGAGTAGATAAGATCTACAACTGTATGTATGCGTGTGCATTATGCTTGACTTTTTCAGTTTTCGATCACGATGCATAGTGTGTCTTACTTGAATAGGTCTCAGTGGGTGTGGTTAACTTATTTATTGACTTCGGTGACACTACATTTGCATTAAGTAGGATTTTGAAAGGCCCTAGTGGCCTAGTGGATAACGCTTGTTTCCCAGTGTCTGAATGATGCAGGAGTGGCCGCCTTGTGACCAGAAGGTCCTGGGTTTGAACCTCGATGGGTGCCTGCTATTCAGTGGTAAAACACACATGGTCCGGAGTTTGATCCTTCGCCGGTGCACTCCCAAACTTTCTTAAGGCCGGTAAAGAAGGAAGATTGGTCACGAGACAGGCTAGCAATCTCACCCCGCAAAAAAATTAAACCACTGCTACTGGAACCTTGGAGCATTAGCTTGAAGCCCCCCCCCCTTATGTTCCACTCGGAATGTAATGGAATGAAATTAAAAAAAAAGGTTTTCACAATCAAGCCCATATTAACTGTTAGGAATCAATCGAGAGTAAGACATATGGACCAACGCCTATTAATTATAGTGAAAATATTCATTCAGACATCTATAAAATACAAAATAATTGAGTAAAGAATATCCTTGCCGATAATTTCCTCTTCTGGCTCTACAATTATGTATATATATATATATTTATATACATAGAATATTCTAGAATAGTAGTCAATAACAATATTAGTGTTTTTTTAAATAATGTCGATTTGTTAAGTAAGATCACAATGGAATTACAGTTCATTAAAGATGCTTAAATTATAATTATAACAATATAAATATAATAACAAATAGAATGTCAATTAAAATTGAGGAAATTTCTACAAAAAGTTAAGGATCATTAGAACCTTGACAGCTAGTGGGGTAAGGACAGTGTCTGAACCAACCAACTTCTTTTGGACACATAAATTAGGCTTCTTAATGTGGATCCCAACGGCCAGTCTCAGCAATATTTAGTGAACGAACTCTTAAAGCGAAGTTAAGAATACTTCGTATGTGATAGATGACTTTGAAAGCCGCCTCGTTGACATTAATCTTGTGCTCTGTATCCACAAGATGAGATAGAATAGAGCTACGAATAGATTTTGTTTATCCTTTACTTAACCAACAACGCTGGATGATGTTCGGAAATCCGACGAGGAACATGTCTAATTGTACGGCCTATGTAACTGGTTCACTCCACAGGAGCAGTTAAATTGGTAGATACCCACACATGGAAGAGGCGAATTTATGCAGTTTATCTTTTACTCCCAAACGCAAAATAGGGGTGGTTTTGAAGACACAGCGTAATTCAGCAGCATGGAATGCTCTTTTTACTGCATTTCTAAGGTGTTGTGTTAGTATCTTGCTCACCTTATCCGCGAGGAGATGAATTTTTAAGAATAACGCCTTTTTAGGAACTGTTGATACCTTGGGCTGCTTTGATTTTTGATTCGTATTCTTATCAACGAACTTTTCTGGATAACCGTTTTCACTCAGCAACCGTTTAATATTATTAAGTTCCTCATCAAGACATTTATCCGAGTAGATTGCTGTTGCTGTGTGAACCAAGCGCTTTGTCAGATTGCATTTGTATTTCAAGGGCACGGAGCTTTGTGTTTAGTGTAATTGGAGACAATTAAAGGGAAGAAGACGGAAAGGAAGAAGAAGAAGCACAGCCAAGTGAAGTGTATCTAGCATTATGGAATTGAAAAGGACTGGAGCAAACACTGAAATCGGATTTACATATTTGTATCGCACTTTTTTAAATCATTAACTAAAGGATCAGTCACTTTTAGAACTTTATACCCCTTGTCTAGTTGTTTATTGTTGCTTACATTGATTTTTTCCACCTGGGAGTTCTCGGCCTCCTGCTGAATAGTAACTTGCATGTGCCGAAAGTTGACTGTTCAGTGTTGAATTTCTCGTGGGATGATGTGCACTCACTTAAAAGTAATCTCAAATTGTAAGGAAGTAGCTGTCTAGTGTTTGTCGGTTTTCATTAGTCCACTAGCTAATGTTATGAACAAGTAAAACTAATTCAATTTTAAATATTTTCCCGTCGATTGATTGGACCGAAGCGCTCGGTCTCTCGTTGACCTGTCGGCTTCTTGTGCAGATGCTTCGACGATGTCTGGGCATGTAATTAGAAGTTAATTGGTGGCTGGTGACTAGCAGTGAAATCCAGGATGCGCACTTTGCCCTGCTTGGGACATGTCAGCTGGATGTATCTGAATTCTGCAGTGAGTGATAATGTTCCCATCGAAGCTTGAACCCAGTGCCCATAGTTTCAAACGGCAAAGCGTTATCCACTAGAACACTTGGGTCAGGAGAGCCACCTCTTGTGCAATTTTTAAATTTTCCCGTCGACTGATTGGACTGAAGTGCTCGATGTCAGGAACTGGGTTCGAGCCTCGATGGGAACAGCATCATCACTCACTGAGGAATGCAGGTACATCCAGACGACGAGTCCCAAATAGGACGAAATGCGCGTCGTCCTTGATTCCACTGGCAGTCACCATCCACGAATTAAATAAAACTCTGATTTGCTAGACTGATTCATACTGATTTTAATCAGTATCTGCATGACTTCAAACTAATTTACATTACTGGGGCTGTTCACTAGTAGATTTCATGATCAAAATATCAGCATTTGAGGTCATAGTTTGTGCTATGCATGGGAACAATGAGGAGTTCAGTCGATGGCTTCAACTGAAAAAATATTGGTCGCTCTATAATGTTTGAGCGCTACGTAAATGTAGGTCTGTTGTTTGAGAATTAAAGTCTAGCAGAACCTGCATTTATGACTTTCTTATTCCCTTCAGCATCCCTTGAAGACTTCTTGGACGGTGAATCGCATACGAGGCTTGAAATATTAAACACAGTGACTTTTAAGTTCTTGACGTTTGATGCTCAATATTTCCACTTTAAATGTTTAAAATATCACGTAGCGTTGAACATCTTTAATTATAGCAGGGATGCGCAATGTATATTACTATGTGATGGTGCACAACTTACTCCATACTAGAAATAATATTGATTTTTAAAAATATGAACTCAATTAAATGCAAATCGATATAAATTTAAGTTTGCAAACCTTCGGCAAGGAAATGTTTGTTTCATTTTATAATTCTAATTGAATTTCCACTCCACTTTCACTGTATGCTTTTGATCATGTGTTTTCAAGTTGACAGATCTTAAAATTGATTGTGCACTGGATAAGACTGAAAATGAAATTCATTCAACTGACAACGAAAAATCGACGGTTTCGTCGTCGATTAAACAACCTCTTGTTTTTACAAGGTGGAATTCAATTTCTAGTAAGTACCAATTTAATACATTTGGTTCCCTTGATAAATTTCGATAAAGAAAGGAAGACGAAATTTGCAGTATAAAAGATGATGTCATCATTCTATTTCACAGGTTCTCATCAACTGCAGAACACCTGAAATTACAATGACTACATAAATGGTAATAACATACTTTAATGTTTAAGTGGTAGCAGAGAAGAAAGAAATACTATAAAATTGACGCATCCAAAAAAGAATGAAAGCATTACAATTTTTGGTTTAAGTTTTCATCATCAATTTATACGCTTTCATAATTGAAAAGAGGGGGGAAGGGTAAGACAGAAAACAGAAAAAATTAACAGTGTTAGCTTGTAGGTTCACATAGCCGAACCCCTGTGGGTGCGTACTGCTGAAGAGTCCTAAACTAGGACGAAACAGATGTCCAGTACTCCCATCTGGTTTTCCAATGGTTCTCTAAACAATGTCAGTTCATGATGAAATCCTATAAGCAATCAACTAAATCCCTACAAACCAATACTTGAATATCCTCTCTTCGGCTGAATTCGACATCAGGGAAGTATAGTCTAATATCATGTTTTTCTTCACAAATGAACATGAGCCATGAATGTGCATCACTAAATATCTACATTTTGTTCTGATGAATTCAGCTATCCCATTCTATGTTAAGAGTAAGATCTAAGCAAGCTTGTTGGGTTAAATAACACACTGTTTCTAGTGCGTTGGTGGCACAGTGGTTAGGACTCTCGCCGACTATGCACATGGTCCGGGGTTCAAACCCTTACCGACGCACATCTGATGTCTATGGTCGGCCTGCAAAATTTGGGCTACCGATATCACACGCTGAAAATTTCATACCTGTACCAAAAGTATGGTGTGGAATCAAGCTGTAATGAAAAAAAAGGAACACATCTACATAGAGTCATTGAAGTGTTTTCTCAGTGTATAACAGCACTGTAGCATCATAAATACCCACCTATCATCGTTTTCGCTTACAATTTTCTGTCTTCCTAATATATATATATATATATATATATATCCAATATATTTATCCATGCGCCATTACTGCAACACACTCTATCGGTCTGACAATTATTCACCTAATTGTGTAAGTGAATATTAATTTTCTAAAGTAAATGATTAGTGAAGGCGAACAGATGAATGTCTGGTTTCATTTTTCTAATGTGTACATGGTTCCGTTTATTATTCACACTCATTCATGTATATTTCTTGATGTTCCAGTCAAGACACACTACCACATTATATCGATAGGTCAATCGACATGCATAAATAATTTTTTGGTGATAAACTCTAACTACTGCTCCATTTTTTTTGCTGTTTTTACAGTTCTTATTTGTTGCATTAATAAACAGTTTTCACTAGTATATATTTGTATATGGATGTTGTATAGCTTTTCTGTCTGTCTGTGAGTGTGTGTGTGTGGTGCGTATCAGTTAAATTCTTTACTAACAGTCTAACCGATCAATCAAAATGTTAATGTCCTCACTGTACTACTTAGTCTATAGGGCGTGAATAAGGCGATGAGAATAGCCTTTTATAACAAGATATTATAATGTATGCATTCTTATTTGTGTAATATGTATGTATACGTCAGCCTGTATCGATATTTCTGTTCAAATCTATCAACCCATTGTTGGTTTTATATGATTTTTCAAGTATTGGTTTGTAGGGGTTTGGTTGATTGGTTACAGGATTTCATTATGAGCTGACATTGGTTAGAGAATCATTGGAAAACCAGCCACAGGGAGTACTGGACAGCTGTTTCGTCCGCCTAGTATGGGACTCTTCAGAAGTACGCACCCGCCACAGGGGTTCGAACCCAGGACCTTCTGGTCACGAGGCTAGCGAGCTCGTGGACCATTAAGCCACTGGGACTCGATCCAGTGGCCAGTCCATGAATTCTAACTTCTCCCAATTCACGATACAGCGCAACCGGTAGCCAATGTCATCGCTGACGAGTATTTGTCCTCACACCCGACCTGCTGCACCCTACTGGTAAATGGCATGAAATTTGTGTAGGTTTGGTTTATGCATGAAGGTGCTTGATTTTCAACCAATTGGATCATGAGTTGGAACCCAGCCTCACCTACAGAGGTCCCGGTAGTGTATATGTATGGCTCATTACAAACTACACGAAAGTGCAATTGTTTTTGATTGGTCGCCAGGTAGCAACTAGTGTCATACGTCTGGTTCTTTGTTTGTTTGGTGTAGACTGAATTCTATCCCAACGGAAATCCTAAAAGAAGTGCTATTAAGGTGTACCATGAGTGCAAATTTCAAACTTGACAGCACACTTTACAGAAAAGTGGACGGGGTGGGTATGGGCTCACTATTGCGTCTCATTCTGGCTGATTTCTTTCTAAGGAAACTAGAAAATGGACCTTTGAACAACCTTATCGGAAAATTTTCATTTTATTGCCGGTATATGGATGAGACACCTTCATTCTTTCTGATGATGATTCGGATAGGAGTACAGTAATAACTGAATTCAATGAAGTACATTCTGCAATGAAATTCATGTGCGAAGAGGAATCCCAATACAGAATTGCCTTCCTAGATGTCCTCCCTACAAAAAAAACCAGGTGGTAGTATAAAGAGAAATTTGCTTAGGAAAAGTACATGGACAGGACAATATACACATTTTCACAACTTCGTTCCTCACCAGTACAAAAGAAATTTGGTAAAAACCCTCAGCCAGAGAGTTAGAGCTATATGATCAGAAGAGGTCATTGAAGATCAACTAAGGATTGTATATCATACCTTGATTGAAAATAGCTACCCCGACAAATTTATCAAGAAACACATGACAAAGAAAGCGGAAAAGGACTATTCACTATCCGTAAACAAGAAGCCTTTATACATACGACTGCAATTCAAGGGCGATATACCAAGCGAGATAATTACGAAGAAAATCAGTTCAAAGAACTTTTAATGATGGCGAACTACACGTCTTATTCTCTACACGATCGACGGTGGTTCCTCGATTGAAAGATGAAGTACCCAGACTAGCCACTTCCAATTGTATCTACCAATTCAACTGCGCTTAAAGTGGAGCGATTTTTATGGGTCGTTGCTCTAGGAACTTGATTTTTCGTGCTTGAAAACATATACCAGCGTGGCTAAATAAAGGTGTAGTAAAAACCATCAACATTTCGATATTAAACCATCTGGTCCAAACCGGCCACAGAGGCATCATTGAAGAATCCTTCTTTATCATCTACCGGGTACCAAATAAATTGCCAAATGCATCCAGGTACCGCATGCTCCAAACAGCAGAGGCTATTGCAATTCACCTCAAACAACCGGTGCTCTGTGTTCAAAAGAAGCAATTCCAGCCACTACTACTGCCCTAGCCGGTCTTCAGTAGTAAAGACTAGAAATTCATAAATTTGTATTATTATCTTTCCTAACGTTTCTGATATTCATTGTATTGTTATGTTGATGCAGTTGAACTGTAATCTATTGATATTATTGATTCGCGGTTATTTAAACGTTAATGTTGTTCAGAACACCAATTCATTCACTACCATTATGTATATATAACTGTAGAGCCTGATGGTGAGGTTATCGAAAAGAGTATTCTTTGTTTAGTAACCATTCTTTTAAATTCTATCAGTCAATTTTGCAATATGACCACCATGCATGCTAGATAGCCCGCCATCAGCAAACAAAGGACTAGACACATTACACTAGTTATTACCAAGTGCCCAATCAAATTATCCGATATAGGGGGTCAGTCGTGAGTCCGAATAGCTCAGCGGTAACGTTTCTGATTGCAGCACCGGATGGTGGTGACATGAGTTCGAATCTCAGAAGGGACATGAGTTTCTCCGAGGTAACATATATACTCCTTGCTGACTGATGAGTGCCAAAAAGCTGGAAGCTTGAGTCAAAGGCTTCCTACCGGTTGTCTCCAACCATCTAGTAATGCATTCGGTTACTGAGTAACACTTCTGGCATTTCTGCTGAGATAATAATACTTCTGGGCTTTGGTTTCCATACTGAAAAGAAACCGACAACCCGATTGAAGACCTGATATTGATTACTAATCAATTCAATCGCCTTAACCTCCGAGAGTGAAGACAGACGACAGGCTTGTTAGAGCTGGTGAGAATACTTTAATTTATTATACAAAAAAACACATTATACAAATGTGTAAACACCACCAGGGTTTGGCTTCAAGGTTGTCACAAAGTATTATAATACATATCCTACCTCACTCCAATGGTGTATAACCTGCTCAGACTGATTGACGCCAGTGTAAGCCTGTTCTACCTGGGATTAGCCGCTTCCTATCAACATTACTCCCGAATTTCATCATCATCATCATCGTTGATTGTTTGTTTCCTCTATTTCAGATGATGATCAAAAACAACTGCCTCTGCCTACTGTTGAACAACTCAAATGTGAAATGGATATTATCAGTGTAAAATGGTCACCGTGTATGAAATCAGGTGATTTATGCTGTGTTTGTAATAGTCTCTTAGTCTTATCCAATCAATCAGTAAGTTCATTAGTATATATACTCATATTTTTGATTATTATTATTATTATCATACTTTTAATGCATTTTTTGTTTTAGAATTATTTCTGTCAGGTCTAAGATTGATATACTACCGACAGATTTTAGAAATCTCATCCTGTTGCTGTAATCACCAAGGGCGTATATTGTTGTATTATTCATATTACTCCCCTGGGTTCCGAGTAGAACATAGGGCTCCCAAAGCACATCACCATTTTGATCTGTTCTCTTTAGCTGACTTCACGATAGTCCATAGTCCCTTATCTTCTCCTCGCCACACGATCTTCTCCATGTCACCCTCGTACCGATGACCCACTCGTCGCTTCCCATTGGGATTCCACTAGAGTAATGGCCTGCATTCCCCGCGATGTCATTCAATGGTCTCCTCACTGGGGTCTGCCCAATCCATCTACATTTTCTCCTACATATTTGTTGAGCAATCGACTCTTGGTCGGTTTGTTCATCACCAGTCAGAGTTTCTTGTTGATGATTCTTTCTGACCGGCCAGCTGGCCATTTGATCTTTAGTATGGAGCCAGCCAGTGAAGGTGGCAGTTGTCGATAAAGTCTGTAGTGTCCCGTTGTAAATCCTTTTCTTGACACACAGTGCAAATTTCTCACCCGCATAGAAGAACTGTTTGACTAACTTGGCATTTGTATGGAAATCTCGAATGCTGTTGTTTATGCTGGCTGGCTGAGTGCAGAAGATTTCCAAACTTATTTCAAGTTGATGAAGGTGTCCCTTGCCTTTCCCATTCTGTCTTTGACATTTTCATCCGTTCCGACTGCCTGTAGTTGAAACGATTCTTCCTAGATAAGTGAAGGGAGTGACTTCTTTCAAATTTCATCAGTTGACAGCCATTGGCACCTGGTGATGTTGGTGCGTTGCCATCTTCACCTGAAGTCTTGCCTTTGCTGACAGCCTCTTCTGACAACTTGTTGGTTCCCGCCTGTAAGTCATCGAATTTATGTGGCATTTGACATAAATCATCCGTGAAGTCCAGACCTGGTACTGTCTTCTCGTTCTCCATGCATGCATGATGTGCTGCATAGTCTAGTCCACCACAATTAGGAAAATCATCGTGTGTGACAGTAGACTGTCTTTTCTTACTCTTGTATTCACTTTGAAGGCTTCACTGAGTTTTTCTTGCTGTGGATCACTTGACACATGTCATTGTCATGTAGCCAGCTGTTAAAGGAGTTTGATAATGATTTGTATTATATTATTATTATTGTTCCCTTGGGTTCCTAGTGGAACATAGGGCTTCAACTACACGTCTCCACTTGCTTCTGTCTTCTGCTGTACTTTTCACTTGCGTCCATGTTAATCCATACTGTTTCAACTACTCTTCACACGATCTCCTCCATGTCATCCTTGGACGTCCCACTCACCGCTTCCCTTTCGGGTTCCACTCGAGCGATGGCCTGACGCGCGATGTCACCCAACGGCCTCCTCAGCGAGTGTCCAATCCATCTCCACTTTCTCCTGCATATTTGTTGAGCGATTGGTTCTTTTTTTGCTTGCTCCCATAGTTTCTTGTTGGTGATTCTTTCCGGCCATCTGATCTTGAGTATAGAGCCAGCGAAGACAGTTGTTGGTAAAGGTCTGCAACAGGCTGTTGGAAATATTCTTTGTGACCCGCCAAGTTTCTGATCCGTATAGAATAACTGACTGACTTGACGTTTGTATTAAAAATCCGAATTTTGTTGTTGATGCAGGCTGAGTGAGGAAGATTTCCAGATAATGATTTGTAGAATTCGTTAATTAAACAAACATCCAACAATAAGAGTGGATACCTTCTCCAGGTAGTCCAGTTGGTTTTTAGTGTAACTTGGTATCGTTGTGTTCTCAGAGCTGGTTGGCTCAATCACAAAGCTTTCATTTTTGATCTTCTCTAGACAGCATTTTCAGCACTAACTCCAATATGAAGTGAATTCTTAGAATTCTCTGTGAGAGTGTATTCATCACCTCTTCTGATGATGACTAGTTGTCTCCATAGGTTTTCTTACCTTCTTGTTCACTTTTTTATATTGGTATTGATTACTTTTTGTTTTTTTGGTGACCTGATATATATATTTGACCTTCTGTATATCTGCAATTTTTCATTGAATTTAGTTTCTGGTACACAAACACGGTGAAAAAGTATTGTTCACTTATATATATATATATCTGACGAAATCTCAGTACGGATACAGAGGGCTAGTTTCGCACATGCCAGTTTACGCCGTCTCTGGCGTAGACGTGATATCCGAATATCGACCAAAGAGCGTGTGTACTGCTCATCAGTCCGCTCCGTCCTCCTTTATGGCTGTGAGACCTGGCCATTGAGAGTGGAAGACATGAACAGATTAGCTGTCTTTGATCATAGGTGGCTGCGATCTATCTCCCGTGTGAAGTGGTATAATAGAGTGAGCAATACTGAGATTAGGCGTCGGGTGCTAGGTAAGGAGGGGGAATCAATCGACAAGGTTGTGAAGCTGCACCGATTGAGATAGTTAGGACATGTGTTACGTATGCCTAGTCATCGCCTTCCTCGACGGGCAATGTCAGCTGACATAGGGTCAGACTGGAAAAGAGCTAGTGGCTGTCAAACCGAAACATGGCACCAGTCAATGAAATCCACAACATATAGTTTAAGGCACGTAGGAAGGTGTAGAATTCCTGGTTGGGGTCCTTGGGACGGTAAAAACCGGTGGCTGGAGATAATTGGTGATGTGGCTCAAAATCGTTCTCAATGGCTGGCGCAGATGCATACACTCTTTATGACTTACAATTTTCAGTGAAACTGTTTTGTTCTTCGTTATCACTATTCCTTTGTTTCACACCTCTGTTTACTGTCTCTATTATCCATTTCTTCTCTTGCTTTGTGTGATACATGGAGTGTGGTGACTTGAACTGCTACACATCGGTGCACATTTCTTTGTCGAATATAGACAGACAGACAGAACACACTTCCAACAGCTTCATTCACTTGTGATTCCTATTCAAGCTACAATTCATGCTTAAATCCAATGCGAAATGGTTAACTAGTTAGGTGTGAATGGCGGCAACTGACGTGAATAGTCGTTCCGTTGACACTGTTAGAAGTGTTACTGAGTTTTCAATGAGAATCATTATTAGTACATATCATTATTCGTCCTTTGGGTTTCGAGCAGCGGGGGAAAAATATATGGCTGCAACAGCATATACCCCAATGTACTCAGTTCTGTGCCGTCGTTTTTAATTGGCTCCATGACCACCGACAAACGTACATTTCCTCCTCTAATGTCACTGTCGGTGTACTGAATTCATCTTCATTTCCTTTGGTGTATACTTGTTGGATAGTAGGTTTGATTATTCACGCTAAATCTGACATGTTTTCGAGGGGACTGGTTTTTGAGGATAAGAAAGAAAAAGCTGTTGAATTTTATTCCTCCGGTCACGTCTATGTTCCGCGATAATTTCGTGTGGCTGAATTCTTTTTTCTACTGTTGAATGTATCTCCAGTGTTTGTCACTTAGTAACAGGTATAATTTGTTAGTACTTTCAACTGTCTTGCTTTCTTATCATCCTGACTCTTTTCGATCCCCTATTAATATGACTAACGCTCATATAATGATAATATTACTAGCAGTAATAATGATATATAGGCAGGTGTGGTTTGCAGCGGCAACTGTCTTTTTTGACTTCATAAAAAGTCTCTATTATTATTATTATTATTATTATTATTATTGTTTCCTTTAATTCCTAGAGGAACATAGGGCTTCAGCCACGCGTCTCCATTGCATTTGGTTCTCTGCTAGAGTTTTCACCTGGCTCCACGTCTACCCACATGCTTTCGTCTCCTCTTCACATGACCTCCTCCAAGTCACCCTTGCTTGCACTGACGACCAACTCGCCGCTTCCCATTCGGGTTCCACTCGAGGGCTTGTCTGGTGATGCCACTTGATGGTTTGTTTTCTCTGAGTATGGCCAATCCACCTCCGTTTCTTCCTGCCTATTTGTTGCACAATCAGTTCCTGGTTGATTTGCTCCCAGAGATCTCTTTTGCTGATCTTTTCTGGCCGGCCATCTGATCTTGAGTATTGAGCGAAGACAACTGTTAATGAAGGTCTGTAGTTTGTTTGAGGTGCTCTTTATGACGCGCCAAGTCTCTGACCCGTATAGTAAGTAGCACTGACTTCACATTGGAGTTGAAAATCCGGATCTTATTTTTGATGTTGAGTGCTGTTGACCTCCACACAGACTTGAGAGAAATGGGAGGTTGTCTTGCTTTCCCGATCCTCACTTTGATATCCTCGTCAGTTCCATCAGCCTGTAGTTGAAACGATGCTTCTCAGATAGGTAAAGGAGGTTGTTTCTTTCAGGTTCCTTCCATTTATGCTGATTGTTGTCTGTTGTTGTTGTTGTTGCTGTTGGTGGTGTTGCCCAGGAATCTTCATCACCACCTCTGTTTTCTCTATGTTCACCTGAAGTCCTATCTTTGATGCTTCTTCTGCCAACTTGGTGCTAATAACTCGATTTAATGAGATATTTTAAAGGTCTTTATGAAGACAACCGGTTTCATATATTGAAGCTGCCTAACTTTACAGTGATGTCTCTTTTCTACTTGATTAATGTCAGTCTGCTTGAGTCACTAGACTACCTGAATTTATATCCCACACAGAGCATAGAAGTTTATCTATTTCTGTTTGTTTTAACTATTCACTTATGTCCCTGAGTCGCCAAATATACTCATACACATTTTTGGTTGACTTTCAACCTACTTCTGTGTATTTCTCGGAGACGAAATAAAAATACCATAAGGGATTTAATTTTAATCGTTAAATAAAACAACACTGCGCTATATGGGTTACTTTAGGTTATTATTGTACTTGAAGATCGTGGATAAAGAGAAGAATATTATGTAATAAATCACGCCAAAAATTCTGCGTACTATGTAAAGTTTTTATGTAGAATAATGTTGTTATAATTATTATCCCCTTAGGTTCCTAATGGAACATAGGGTTTCAACAACACATCTCTACTTTGTTCTATTTGTTACTGCCCTCTTCAGCTAGGCCCATGATTGCCCATAATCTCTCATCTCCTCCTCCTCGCCACACGATCTCCCTCCTCCATGTTACACTTGCACTGACGACCCACTTGTCGCTTCCCATTGGGATTCCACTCGAGTTATGGCCTGCATTGAGCACGATGTCATTCGACAACCGATCCATCTCCATTTTCTCGTACATATTTGTTGAGAAATCAGCTCTTCGTTGGTTTGTTCATCACCAGTCAGAGTTTCTTGTTGCTGATTCTTTCTGGCCGGCCAGCTGGCCATTTGATATTCAGTATGGAGCCAGGCAGTGAAGGTGGCAGCTATTGATAAAAGTTTGCATTGGCCCGTTGTAAATCCTTTTCGTGATAAGTAGTGCAAGTTTCCTTCCCGTATGGAAGTAGTGACTAACTTCACATTTGTGTTGAAAATCCGAATCTTCTTCTTTTTGCTGGTTGAGTGACAGCAGAAGATTTGCAGACTGGTTTCAGGTTGATGAAGGCGTATCTTGACTTTCCGATTTTAACTGGCTTTGACAACTTCATCCGTTCCGACTGTCTGTAGTTGAAACGATTCTTTCTGGAAAAGTGAAAGATGTAACCTCTGTGAAATCTCTCCCGTTGATGGTGATTAGTGCTGGTTGTTGTTGCTGCTGCTGCTTTTGGTTGGTTATCTTCATCACTTTCGTCTTCTTCATGTTCACCTGAAGTCCTGTCTTCGTCACAGCCTCGCCTCTTCTGCTGGTTTGTTGGTTTTCGCCTGCAAGTCTTCGAGTCTGTGTGACATTAAACACAAATCATGCACGAAATCCAAATCTCCTAAAGTCTTCTTATCAGTGGTCCCGCATATTCCTGTCTTCTCATTCAAAACACCCAGTCTGACTCATGATCCATTCCCCCACAATTAAGAATACCATTGTGGGCGATAGCAATGAGCAGCCAGCTTGTCTCACTCCTCTATTCACTTGGAACGCCTCTCTGAGTTTCCCGTTGTGGATCACCTGACACATGTCATTGTTATATAGCAAGCTGTTGAATGAGGTTGATAATGACTTGTGCATCGTACCCCATATTGTTGAAGAAGTTTCCAAATTACTTCTCGGTCAACGCTGTTTGGTAATGCGTTTTTTGAATATAGTTATTATTATTATCTGAAAATGCCCCTCCTTTACATTTACGTTTCACTTAATTTTGATATATATATATATATATTTCTTTGTGTTATTGCTTACAATTCCCATAAAGGTTCATTGTCATTCATGTGGCCTTCTCACCTGTTCACGGTGTATCCATCCCAATCCACCAATCATTCCAAGTTTATGGTCTACTGATCAAAAATCTGTACAGTTTTGTAATTCTTGTACTTCTAAACTTCGCAACAGTATCAACACTTCAAATTATAAACATTTCAGTCAATTAAAAAAAACAACCAGCAACATGCCAACTACTACGAAGTCTGAAAACAATTCATCATCTTCAACTGATCACCACCACCACCACCTGCTAACGTTTACATCATCCACGTGTAACTCTTGATGTCTGTTAGCTGTGGATTAATTTTCCTCTCCTCAAATTTACCATGTGATATTAGGTATTTGTGTGCGTTTGTGCTTGTGTGTGTGTGTCTATCTATCTATCTACCCATGTTTTCTCTTTCTCTGATAAAAATTATCTGTGATCATGTTTCAACAAGTGCTGTCTCATTCTGTACTTGCTTACCTTCCTTGTATCTTCACAGTTCCTATTTTCCCCTCTATTATTCATCCCTTATTCCCGTGTATTTCGTTATCGAGGAATATGTGCTTGGAATTGGATCAGTGGTAAGCAGTATTTGTTAGTTTATTGATTTACTTTCTGTTCTTCTCCTCTTTTCCCATCTGTGCGTGTGTGTGTGAGTGCATATCGATCGTTTGTCTGGCTTTTCATTCCTGCTGTTTTTTTCATTTTTTTATTTCTGATTTTTCATCTCCCCGCTTAAACACCTTCTCTCCTTTGATCTATCACCGCAACTAGTATGATCCAGTTAAAAAGAAATTCTATGAATCAGCTGTTTGTTTCTTTTCTTCATATTATAATTTCTAGGGTGTGTAATTTTATTGATCTCATGTGTATTGATTTTTTCACTCTTCTAATGATAACATAGCGATAACAACAATACTAATAATAATCAATACTTTTTTCAATATCATACATTATAATATACTCACCATCTTTTTGTTATATATATATATCTTTTTCAAAAAACCTTTTTATTCTTATTTCTATGTGTATATTTTTGATAAGGAGTTGAGTTGTGTAAAAATGAAATAAGGCTTTTGATAGACTTTCCTGGGATATTTCCTATGTTCCTATTGTTCATGATCTTCATTTCCTCGTATTAAGGAATTGAGCTTTCATTGATTGATTAATTGATTGATTGATTAACAAATCGTTGGTTTTTGATTATTGATCATCGATAGCAAAATAAAGACAACAGCAACAACAGAAATAACGTGTATTAATCGATAGTTATGTTCCAGATCAGTGTTACTACAAAATGAAGTGAACTTTTTCTATGTTTTTCTCTTTATTGATTGGTTTATTTATTTATGTATTTGTTGTTATTGAGTGTGAATGAGTACTTCTTAGGTTAATCATTTTTTGTCAAGTGTTGCTTTCCAGCGATGCGATTGGTGACAGGTTTAATCATGCGTCTTGATTATTAGTTAGAGAGTCATTGGAAAACCAACTTGGAAGTATTAGACAGCTGTTTCATCCTTGTTTAGGCCTCTTCACCAGTGTGTCCCCGCCAGGGTTCAAACCCAGGATCTTCTGGTTACAAGGCGAACTTGCAAACCATTTAGCTGCTTGGACCTGATCAGTGCCCCATGAATTCCAACTTCCACGGAGTCTACCAGGTCAGATAAGAGAACAGGTACGCACCTATGGCATTAGCTGATGATTGCGCAATGGATATATTGACAATGGGTTATCCTTTATCGGTGGTGGTATGGTAATCTATATGCAGTCTTGAAAAATAGGAATTGACCTCTGTGAAATAACCGCCGCAATTTCATTGATCATGCTTACAGACTAAAATGACACGTCTTTGGTGATATTAAATTTCATAAATTATGGCGTAGAATATACTTTGCGGTCTACGTCTTTGTGTATTCTCATTTAAGTAGTGCGAGCTGGGGAAGCAGGTAGCTATCGTATAATGTTATTGGCATAGTCAAGCGTTATTCGTGATTAACGTGTCTAAGTCCACCATCGGTATGTCTATCCTATTCTATTTCAATCTCAGTGTTATTGCGTAATCAGATTGCTTGTTCATGATGGCTATGTGTATCGCAAATTGTCAGAATAATAATAATAATAATTAACTTTATTCCAAAAACAGTACTTATGACACGGAATGGAATTCTCAGCATTTGTCACAATATTACATCTGATTTACTTGAAATATATATAAAATTAAAAATTAAAACAAAATTAACCGGAGGAATAAAGTCAAAAATATTCGAAGCACGAATTGAGATTATTAAATATAGTAATAATAATAACAGTGAGTTTGTTTCAAACGGTATTGTCGATTCAGTTTGGAAACTTAAGCATGTTATAGATTATTGGATCTAATGTTCTGTTGATACAGTGTAGTGAGAGGAAATACAAAGTTAATAGTCATAACGCAGCTTAAATTATGCGCACACTTATGAAAAGAAATAAACAAAGAATTGAGAGGATTATAAATATAAGAAATACAATAACAAAAAAGTTTGATGCTGTAAGGGTAGAGGAAATGGTGTATTTAGTGGTGCAAAAAAGGTTAGTTAGTTCATGGCTGATACTACTTTCATCACATAAAGTACGTGCTAAATATGGTATAGTGGAGTTTTTATATTTAGACGTACGTGCATAAAGCCTTCGGAAAAGACTTCTTGTTTTACCTGAGGAGACACAAGTTTTGAGCTGTGGGTAGAGTGGGTGCTCAGAGTCAGACAAAATTCCTTTAGAAAATTTTTTGCATGACATCAAGTGCCTACCAGTAACAATGCCAACGATATGGCCCAATGGGATACCACTCGTCCTACTGACAGTCTTCAGAGTTCTACGAAGAATAACATAGTCTTTTTTAAGCAATCCAGGAAAGAATGAGGGTGAACAGTGAAGAAGAATAGGTAAAATACACGAGTTGACAAACTGTAAGAGGAGTAGTCGGGTTATGCCTGAGTACCCTAGCTTCTTAATGTAAAAAGTCAGACGAAATATTCTTTTAGTAATCGCTAAGATATGGGAGGACCAGGATAGGTCAGAAGGGAGAATTCATCCAACATACTTAACTTCAGACTTGATTTCTATATCAGTATCATCGATTTTGCAAGGGTCATAGGAAGTTGGAATTCATGGGTTGTTGTATCGTGTCCGGGTGGGTCCTGGCTTCAAATTGCGGTGACTGCGTACTGTAGAAGAGTCCCAAATCGGGCTGAAGTAGCTGTCCAGTACTCCCGGCTGGTTTTCGAATGGTTCTCTAACTGATGTCAATTCGTGATCACAGTTGTAATTATTATTTAGCATATTTTTTCATCAATAGTCTCAAATCGATCAATTAGGAAGTTAAGTAATTTACAATCTCATTGTAGCCTTTCTTCCGGTTGATGATGTTGAAAAAAAAGTGTCACTCAACAATCACCTGCAATTTCGCGCAGTTGGCAATGAGACACACCAACTGTGCGTGAGGGCTGGTTATAATAACTGGCCATTCAAACCATGGTAGTCGGGATGGAGTTCCCGTACGTGACCCGATGGTTGAATATGATAAAAGAGTGAGATCGAGGCCGCGCATCTCATCCTATTTATGACTCATCAGCTGGATACACCGGCTTAGTAATATAAGTATGAAACGTGGGCACTGTGGTAGAGTATAACTCCATTATGGATAAGATTTTATTTTGATATATCACACAGTGTTATACAGTAATATTAACTGATGACTATGTTTCGACCACAGATTATTGCTCATAATCATATCAAGTTACTCAGACAACTTTTTCCCTTCATTTATATACATGAGTAAAATTGGTGATTAGACATTTGAATAAAAACCAGTGTGAGATAATGTACATTCAGAAATAATAATATGAGTGTTATTGATCAGTTACAATCAGATGGGAAATAATACGAGTGTTTTTTTAGTCATAATAAGTAACTTGTTAGAATATTGTGATGTGCTTGAATTTTAAGATTATTTATTATCCTCCTCTGATTTGACTGACTGGCGGTAATAATATCTTCCATTTCTCTGGTATTTGCATTGAGTCATTTTTGTTGCATGTGTTGGGTGTAGACTCGATGAACCAGGCAGGATTCAGTAATCAAGCTCTCTCTCCACCTACCTATATTACTTATTAGAATTTTAACCCTCTCCCACCCTATTGTGTGGTTTTGTGTTATTGCATGCTGTGCTATTGCTGAGCTTTTTTCTAAATTACTCATCTTCTCGGGGTCAACCATTCTTACCTCAGCTAAATCCTTATGTTCTGACAGGCAATCTCACTACTCTTGATCTACTAGTTTAACCTATATATTTGACCTCACTCACAGTCATTGCAAGGTATTTTGTAAATTATATTATTTTGTTTAATTGGGTCCACCGGGTCTTTCAGCCTACATAGCTTGTCTCTGAGTGAGTTTGAATGCCACTCTAATTCCTGCTTTATTAAGAATCCTACATAGGGAGGGTCTCAGATATCCCCTCCTTATATGGTATAACAGTGGATGACTTGCTTATATTCTCTCTTATTTATGAAAACCTGCTTACTAAAGAGTGAGTATGTTCTCACTACCAGCTATGATTTCAAACGTCAAAGTGATATTACACTGTGCTACAACAGCGGTACATTTTGCATCTAATTATTGTTTGTATGGGACTACTGTTTTTTTTTAAATTTCCCGCTGGTTCATTCATCCTATTGGATCTAAATGACAAGTTGGCCCCTAGTACCAATGCAATGCTTTGACAAGCACTAATGTGGTGAGAGCAAGCTGCTAGCCGATTGGTAGACATTGATCTACGCTGATTGGTAGAAATTAATCTAGGCTGATTCAACAACCGATCACAGCTGACCTAAACGTGGACAAATATGATTCGCAGACAAGTGGCTCGCATTTCCGAGAAATATCGAAAACGAGAAAGCAGAAGAAGACTGCGTTTGTTTGCAAACAACCAATCAGAAGACCGCCTTCTTTCTGCGGGCAGAAGCCTATTAATGTACGTAAAATACATATAAATACCTGTTGGTTTTCGTAATAAAACTGATCTGTTGCCTGGCCCTTGTCTTCTGTTGTTACACTAATACTAAGTTTAGCCTAAGGCATAGTAAATGTGTCCGTAATACAAGCTGACATGTCAACAGTCACCGAATATTTTCCTTCACCAAAAATCAATCCATTACGAAATTCACATAGTATAATCTCATTGATAATTAATTATTTTTGTTAATACAATTAATTTCATAATTGAATGTTTGATACTCTCAATGGTTTTATTCTTCTAAATGGTTGGTAATAAGTAGTGTAACGACAGAAGACAATGGTCACGCAACAGATCGTATGTTGAGAAAATCAACAGATATTTATAGATTTTTATGTACATTATTATTAGCGTTATTGTCAGCAGAGAAGCAACGTTTTCTGATTGGTCGTTTTCCTGCTGAAGGTTATTCTGTCATCTCTTTGTGGCCGTTTCTTAGAAAGTTGAGCCATATATCTGCGAATCGTATTTGCACACGTTACGTCTGCTGTGATTGGTTGTTGAGTTCCTCAATATTAAGCTTTCTTATTGTTTTTTTCTCATGACCCCGATTTGGGACGTAAACATTGACGTAAATTGTTGTATACCAATTTTGGCTAGCAGACAGGTCTCACCACAGCAGTATTTCACCAGTCATGGTAGCGCAACCTGTCACACTTTGGAATTGAAAATGGTTACTGTGTTGCTGTAATTTCAAATGCTCTTGAGAAAAGTAGTATTGTTATTGACGGTTTGACTATGATTGAGTACATTTCTATGGTTGATGAAGTTTATAAGAGATAAGAGTATTATTGAATTGTGATCAGGTGAAACATTTTCAAATGATATAGAGTTCAAGGGAAATTTATTTAACTGCTAACTCTTAGTGACTTCTGGGGATTGCTATACTGCCACCAAAATCACTTCGACCTCATCGTAATCTAAAGAAAGTGGAGACTCAGTCTGCAGGACATAAAGTCGAGAAGGAGATGTGGGCTCAGACCATTATCTAGTGCGACCAAACTTCAAAGTCAAACCGAAAACCTTCAAAAAAAACTGGAGACAGATCACAACTCAATCTCAACGCTCAGAAAACTGAAGGACGAAACTACAAAAGACACTGTCACTGCAGCTATCACAGTGAAATTGGAGATATTACTTAGCATCAGTGAGAAAACCTGTGTGGAAGAATATCGGAATAACAATTAGAAGAAAAACTGCCTTGTTAAACTACCAAAGAAGGACGACGTAGGCCTCTGCAAAAACTGATGCCGAATTATGCTCTTGTCTACGCCAAGCATCACTCTGCAGAGAATAAAAAATGCACCGGTTACAGAAC